AAGCTGAAGTAGGAAAATTTTATCTAATTAAAGTAGAACTGGCTAAATCTGTTTAGCTTGCTCGTTTGTTAGTAATAATTATATCCATTTGAAGCAGCTTGTTTGTCAGTAATAATTTAAGTGTATTTGCTTTTTGTTTACCATAGATTTGATAGAAAATAACTGGATAAGTTATCTTAAAAAAACTGCAGTACTACGATTGGTTAACAATGAATTATATATGTTCTTCTAAACGATATGTAAATAGATATATCTACAGAAAATCATTTACTTTTAAAGTAAATAAAAGAAAAGTTGAGAGGCAGTACTTGACTAGAAATGTGTTTTATTTGCGGATCACTCTATATTTCAAATGGCTAATCCTGGGCTGATAAAATCAAAGCCAAATTAAACTTCTCAGAAATGTGTTTTATTTTTATATTTTTTTTCCCTCTAAAAAGAAATTTGTTCATAACTTAGAATGCACCGGATAAAACCAAAGGTTCGTCATGGTATAGATTAACTTTGGAAAATCATGATCGTAACAACATTTACAAGTACAATCTATATTATATAATGGAAAATAAACCATGAAACAGTCCTCACAAAGCTTAATATAGCAGTGCATATGATTGTGCATTGTGCACTTATATATATGTGTGTATATCCCATACCGATTGCAATGAAGCTGTGTTTCCGATATCAATATCCCATTATACAAATCTATAACATAACAGATATCCATGCATGCAATTAAGAAATATAACGACCGATTTTACTCTCCCAAGAAAAACCAGAAACGTCCAAAGCATTTAGTACAGAGAGAGAGAGAGAGAGAGAGAGAGAGAGTGGCTAAGCCTAACACAAGATATATATATATATATATATAGGATGATTAGGTTCTAATACTCACTTGAAACGCTTTGCTTTCTGACTCCAAAAACCCCCCCGGCGGTTCCTCCAATATCGGCCAAAGTCGAAGCAGCAAATTAGAAGCAAATTGCTTAAACGACCCTCTCAATAATGTCTATATTTGAATACAAACAAATGGCAACAGTTAGGAAAATATACTTTTTCAGGATAGAAACCCTTATATCGTTGAATACATGCATCACATCTGGCTATATTATATTTATATTATATATATCTGTATATGTGTGTATGTATATGTATATCATAATAACAAGAGAAAGACGAGCGAAAAAAGAGCTATATACGTTGGATTTGCTTGTCTTTGACTCGTTTGCGTGATGTTATGGCAGTGTTAGGTGAACTAGTTTAGGCTTTTGTATATAGCCGGTACGAAAAAGATATATTTTCCTCAGTTGCTTTTTGAATAATTTATGATCCACGATGAGTCTATACTATAGTCTTTACAAGAAGGCTCTAGCTAGTAGTGTGTGTGTGTATATATATACACACACATTATTAAAACGAGATGAAATCTCTTGAAGAAAAAGACAAAAGAAGATCGGAGAGAATCCAAACAGAGTCGAAGAAGATCTGTTTGTGTTCGTGCACTGCAACAGCTACCTTTCAATATGTACATATAGAAAGCCATAATTTTACTTTAACAATGATTTGCTTTTCTTTTGTTTGTTTGTTCTTTTTTTTTTTTTTTGGATTGAAAAACTTTAATAGAACGTGTCAATTATAAATTTAATATTTAAGTGTAAAAAATACTCTCTAATATGATACTATTATTATGGTAAATTTTTCATATATTATATTTTGTAATAAATTTATAAGACCATCTCCAATTTAAATGCTAATGCCATTAGCTTCAAAAACTATGGTATGATATGTATTTTTATTTTTATTTCAATATATAATGCTATTTAAAATGTTAAATCTATTTTTTCTTATAATCATTAAAGTTTAAAAGTTATAAAAGTAAACTTTTATTTTTAAAATAATTAGAAAATGTAAAAGTTGCAACGATTATATGAAAAAATAAACATTTCAACCAATAATAATCAAATGTCAAATTTCTCATACGTTATACTTGGTGAGAAATTTCTCATAAAGTATATAGCATATGGTAAATTTAACAACAAATAACATTGCATTGGAAAGTAATTTTTGCACTCAAATTATAAATTTACAATTAGCACATCAATTATAGTATTGCATTGGAGATACTCTAACATATGATAAATTTGACATTTGATTTCTATTGGTTGTTATGGTTTCTATTTCATTCAATCATTACAACTTTTACTTTTCAAATGTTTTAGAATTAAAAATTTACTTTTACAACTTTCAAAGCTTAATAATTATAAAAAAAATAGATTTTAACATTTCAATTAGCATTATACATTAGAGCACAAATAAAAATAACATGTGCTATCATACTTTTTAGTGTCAAATATTAGCATTAGCATTTGCATTGAAGATGATCTTGTGGTGCATTTACTTCGGAATTGTCTTAAATCCCACACTAGGACCAGTCCAATGAAACATTTTGGTATTCTCTAGTATAATAAAACATCTTACAGATACTTTATCCTTTTAATAATATTAAAAAGATACCTTCAAGTTTTAGAAAACAGTTTTTTCATACCCTAAACCTGATTTTTTGTGCCTAAAATTTCAATTGCGCCCTTACCATAATTCGAAAAAATAATTAACATTACAATCATTTACAAGGTTTTAATCACCTCTTTTCAAATTACAACACTTTTCGGAATTATAATAACATTTCGACCCATTTAATGAAAAAGTTGTGGTAAAGACACAATTGACATTACAGATAAGAATTGAATTTAGGGTGCTAAAAAAATATTTTCTACAATTTAAAGTACGGTTTTAATACTATTAAAATAATAAGGTATCTATAAGATATTTCGTTATAATAACGGGTACCAAAATAATTATTATTTTACTAGAGTAATAAAGTAATAAATATAGATTTTGTTTATAAGGGTATTATAGTGATCGTATCACTATCAGGATTGGGAATCTCCAATTTGATAAATGCATAGGATTTCTAATCTTAATTCTAATTCTAAATTTATGTGGCGCCACACAATATGATCATTTAAAATAACAAAAAAAAAAAGAAATAAATATGGCATTGACTCTCAGATAAGTAAACACTTGCATTAATTGTTTTCGTAATGCGACAATTTTTTAAATTAAAGTATATGTTTTATGTTTTCCAAACTGATGTCTATGCGTAACCAACAGTAAGCTAGTAGTTTGTGTTTTGTGTAAAATTGCAATCATCAAATAGTAATACAGCCAGCAGGCTTTTGCGGCCAGAAAATGTATATACACATATATATATATTTATATACCTTGCAGTCACATGTTACCATCAATACTGCCAATTTAGTTGTCGGATCAGAAACAAACTGTTGTATATAGAAAACTTGTACAACTAAGACCTTTTGGATCCTGCTCAAGTACTGTTCATATTAGAATGATGTTTGTTGCGCTATATATATATAGACACACACACACATATATATATATAGCTGAAAATCTTTCTCTCAGTCGTATTGTGAGGATCACTGTCACACAAGAACCAGTGTTTTCGGGTCTCCCAAACCAACTCATAATAAATACTCCAATATGTGTTTGCTTTTACAATCTTTTTACACGGTTCGTTGTTTAAGCTGTGATTCCGGAATTCTGTCCATATCTCTTGTTTCCTTTTTTGTTTTTCCAGTTCTAGCTAGAACCCCCAAGATCTGACTACATATCTTATGCAGAATATGCACAAACACGTGACAAGTTATGTGAACTAATACTGGACGTTGAGACAGAATCCGACAGTAATCTATGCATGTGAATGTGTATATATGTATAAATATGTGTGTGTATATATATATATATATATATGCACCAGATATATAACCATATGCTTCGGAAGCGCTAGGTAGTTTAAATAGGCAGACAATCCTTTCTATACTGCTGAAAACAAATTATCTTGAGCTATAGGATTACTGATTTCATCTATGGGTTTTTTGTAAGTCTGTTCTTTTCGTTTTGTAGAAGGTCATGAGAGATCCATATGCACTCCAGCTAACCCTCCAGGCTAAGGCTTAGGCTTTTTATTCTTTTGTCCCCAACAAAAATTTTTGTTACAATTTTTCTTCTAGAATTTGCCCCTCACACCCTGAAAATTTTTACTTGCAATATCTTGTAATTTTAAAAAAATAAATAATAAATAAAAGGTATCAGAGCATGTTTTAACATTTAAAGATACTCATATTTTGATTAATTCTCTTAACCTAAACAAAAAAAAAGTAATTAACTCTACTATGTGAGCTTTGATTATATATTTTAACTCAAAACTTTGATTTAATTCATGCCACTGAATAAAATTCCTGACTCGTTGCTGGACATACCAGCATCTTATCCCTACAATCCTTATTCACTGAAAAAGGCAGAACAGATTCCAGAAGAAATGCGTAAAGGGTGCAAGGCTGGATTTTTTGGACACATTATCTTGTAGAGATACATACATACATGTGTGTGTATATATATATATATATATATGTTTCGATAAACTGGCGCCAAGGACATCTTTGCACAGGAAGAAAGATTTGCAGAGACCTTATGGGATGTTTGTTTCAAGGATTCATCATTGGTTTTAAATCATGGTTCTTGATTCTCTACGGTGTTTTTCTTTCACAAAAAAATTTAAATTTCAAAAATTAAAATCATTATTGATAATTCTAAACCTATAAACCAAACATCCCATAAATTACTACTTCTACTTCTAGAAGAGTAGTAGTTCAGCTGATAGCTGAAAATTGCTTCCTTTCTTTCCAGCTAAGTAAAGCTAAGTACTTTTATCATCTCAAGAGTTTTCAGATGAAAACAACTTCTAAAGTTCCTGCTTGGATTATGACCATTCAACGAATTCTAAGTCATGTGATGGAGGACATGTGCGGTAAAGAAAAGATAATTTTGTATTATAGAGCTAAAAGTTCTGCAATATGAAAGTATTTATTTATTCGTTGAAGTTGGCCATCGGACTGATGCTTTATAGCTATAGCCAGAGAGATCAATTTTCTGTTTGTTTTGCACCAAAATGGTGTAGCAACTTCTTTCTTATTTCAAAAAATGCATAATCAATATACAACAAACATCGCACGCTAAATCTGATTAATCTGTTCCTCAGGGAAAAAAAAAAAAAAAAAAGATTAATAAGTAGATTTACTATGAACATGATCTATCGATCAGATTAAAGGAAAACCAAAACCACATCCGACGTCGGAAAGCCTATAACACGGGGAAGGGTGTACCACATTATCATAGTGAACACTCTAAGCTAGTAATGTCTTGCAGTTACAGAAGCGCCCTTGCGTCGACTAGAAGCAACAGCAGTGTTTGACCATGACGACGGCTTGAATCCCCCGGTCAGGATGTTAGATGCTGCAGCAGCACTTATTCTCCTTTTCTTGGACTCCAGCTCTATTCGTTTATTAGACGCAGACGCAGAAGATCCAGCTGGCTCTGAAAATATTGAAGCAGCATTAATCAAAGCCCGCTTGTCCTTTCTATTTTTCTCAAACTTGGAAGAGAACTTCACACGTGCAGAAGCAGCAGAATCTTCTTTAGAAGCTGGAAGAAGTCGCATGCCTAGTCCCATTTTCCTGGAGGCAGCCTCTTCTTCAGCAACTCTTTTCTTTTGACCCTGCAATGGATGAGCCAGCAAAATTTTAGCAAAGAACTGATACGAGAATGGAGAAAATTCAAAGAACTGAAATTATGTTCGGGAAACACACTCGAAGTTGGGCACGGAGAACTTTGTTAAGGGCATAATCATCTGAGTGTTGAGCATCGGAGAAATTCTGTAGCCGCACCAATACTGGCTCGGCTTCTTTCTTCTTCTTCAAATCTTGTTCTTGGTGTTCGAGACGGTAAAATGGATCTGAAAGCTTTCCTCTTTCTGAAAAATAAAGTATCCAACCATGTTGGTAACTGAATATGGAAAACGTATTGAAAGTAGCTGATGTTTATTTAACAAAGAGATACCATTACACCTCTCTTTGTTTTTCAATTTTTGCTCAGATAGAAAATGACCTCAAATCAGAACTAATTTATAATCTCCTCTAGATGCTTAAAAAACCACAGCAGGAAGTGCAAAAGTTTCTGCATCCTCAATGTCAAATTCCTCGGTCTTTCGTGTGGCACCACTGATAATGACATACTCACAACTCTTTGGATCTGTTTGAATGACAATCTCGTGTTTACAACACGCAGCCTTCATGGTAAAGCTCCATATCTGGAAGAATAAACATTACTGTTAATAGATGCATCAAAGGAAACAGAAATATGTTGCTTGTGCATGTGTCAGATTTAAACTCTAAAATATTAGCATGCAGCTTGCTAAAGTACCTTTGTAGAATAGTAATTTCCCACTTGCTTTTTTTCAGCATTAAAACGAACGCCCTTTGCAATCATAGAATTGCATCCACCACACCATATATTGAATGGCATCTCAAACCTGAAATTAAACACAAAATTAGCGATTCAAAACGGTACTCTCGGTTTTATACTTGTAAAGATCTTTAACTAACATAACCCTCTGCACTTGTCTCCATCACTCACTATCCGGCACACTTTAAAGCTAGAATTTGGATTACAGACCAATGCTACAACTGATGGTAAGATTAACATAAAGCACGATCCAAAGTACAAGGGAATCCCCATACTATACTATCAGCAACTGTAAGAAAGGGCAAAATCACGTATAAACCTTTTTAGTAGTTAGTACTATCAAAAAGGTAATGTAGAAAGAGCATGCTTTGTTACCTTATGATCAAAATACCCTGGTCTATTTTTCTTGCCCTCTCCCTCAGAGCATGTTGACCATGGAATTTGTTCAGAGAACCCTGAAAAGAGACGCAACGTAAGAATCTGAAAAACTGATCAATCATACAGTATTCCAACAAAACTATAAAGGAAAACTAGGATACAAACATACCTGATTCGGGGTCCATTCTGGGGGATAGTAAAAGTTGTCTGCCCTTGCAGCTGCAAGTGAGGACTGTAGAAATCCAAAAAAACAAGTTTAGCAGATTGAATGCAATGACTATAAATTTAGGAGAAAAACTAGGAACTTAGGAGACAACATCTCCCCCAAAGAGGGAGATACTACGACCCAAGTAATACCTAATGTTGATATCAAATTCAAACATGACAATCACACATGAATTAATACAAGAATATTAGTATTAAAAAAATTCTCTCTTTCCAAAAAAAAATAATAAATAAATAAATAGAACATCTCTCAAAAATTACCATGAAAAAGTCTTTTACAAGCACTCAATCAAATGAGAACCCTTGTGCATATATCATAAAACCATATCTGACATGTATAGAGTGCTAAGCAAGTGTTGGACAAACCATCAAATGTTTGATATGACACGGCTTACATGTTCCCATCCTTAAAAGAAATTTTACTCTTTCTATTCATAAAACTTTCCCAACTTTTAGCGCATCAGAGTAGGATTTGTTGAGGCAACTCCTCATTAGTCATTACCATCTCAAAATTCTACGGTCAAGGTATGATGGTCCATTTTTCAGTTTAGAAACTTAAAATGCATCTTAAAGCGTGTGCTAGTAAATTTCTTGGAAAAGTTTGTATCTTCACATCGTAATTAAAAGGTACTATACTTTCCAAATAGATGAATTTTGTAATTCTTCCTCCATAATCTTGGGAAACATATCGTAAGATACATAACATTGTATGACAACTAACAAAGGACTGAAGAAGTATAAAACCAGCTTATGATCTGCAATAAAGAAATCTGAGCTTTCTGATAATAACCTTCCTATACAAGGATAGCGTCCTTTTTAGTTATGCATGAATGTGGCAAATGGCAAATAAATAATTGGGTGCAACGTCAAAATTGACAAGAGAGAATGTAGGACCCACTAGCAAGACAGGAAACCAAATTTAACTTCAACTATAATAATTAACATCAATAAGAAAATCACTTCAACGTCATAACGATATTACATAACAAAGTACATATCCCTGTAATCATAATTCACCTAAAAATCTTAAAAGCAACGCAATCTAAACTCTTTGTAACAGAAAAATCTGTATGCCCTATTTAATATTGCAAATGCCAACCCAAAAAGAATCCATTACATTCCAGACGAACTTCGATTACTGAAGAAAACCTAAACTGAATCAATAGGACCCAAATCCCTAACAGTTATTATTACAATTATCATACAGTCACTTCTTAATTGTTCAAACATACTGGAACTTGGAACAACTGAAGATGCAGAAAATCGAATATAGCAAACAGGAATTCAGCTACCAGGGGGGAGAAAAAGAAGAATTTCAAGCCTAGCTAAATAAAAAGGACAGAAATTTTACACCATTATTTAGGAAATAAATTCCAGAAGTACAAGTCTAATTGATGCAAAAACCCTAAATTTCATAATCATGTACCGTAATTGGGGAAAATACAAAGAAAGCAAAGAGAAGAAACCCTAATTGGTGAATTAAGGAAGAGACGAGAGAGATCGGAATGTTACATACCATTTTCGAGGATCGGGATTGAGACGATTAGGTTTCGGAAGAATCGGATTTCGGTCGAAATTTCTGAAAACAAAGATTAATTTTGTTTGTTCGTTGTCAATCTCGGCGAGAAAGGTCTCTCCTTTTTACGCGTAGAGTGAAAAGAATTCTCTCTCGTTGTTATTGTAAACTGGAAAACGAGAGACGGTGCCGTTTCGTTTCTGGTATCTTCTGGGCTATTCTTCTGAGCCCATTAATACTAACCCAACCCAATTCTTTTAAGTCGATTTTACGAATCTACCCTCTTTATGTCTTGCAAATTGAAATGGACAGCACATTCTTCAACAATAGTTTGATACTTTTTCAATTTGCTACTTAAAAAAAAAAAAAATCTCATTTAGGTGTTCTGTTATTGAAAACGTAAAGATATATATCATATAATTATCCTAAACCAATTTTCTGGAACATGAGATGATAATTCTTCCTTTTAGTAAAAAAAAAATAATAATAAACTCTTAACCCAAAACCAAAACAATTTCAAATCTATCTCTCATGACCAAAAATAATAATAATAATAATAAAAATAATCTTCAAAATGGCAATTTTATGTTTTAAAAAAGGGTTTTGGGGGTACTTGGGGTGATTTTTGTTAGAACAACATGATAATTACATAAGAATTCAAAACCTAAGGTACCAACTACCAAATTGAAAAATTATATATTAAATACAGGGTAACAGAATGATATATTCCCTCATATTCACAAATATTATATGTATATCCTTATTTACTCTAATTAAATTTAATTAAATGAAACTTGAATGCTTTTTCATTATCTATTGTCAAATACATTTGGGCAAGCTGTTGTGTACTGTATTTATTTTTTCTTAGTTTAGGTTTTGTCTCTTTAGGTTTTCTTAGTAAGGTTTTTAATGAGTCAATTTTAAGAATAATCTTGATAAATACTTCTTAAAATGAATGGGTCAGAATTTTTACCTTTTACTATTTATTCATAACCTTTTTAGTCAAATAATTACACTAACAAAATGGTATTTATTAAGAGTAAGGGGTAAAGGTCCAGACTCATGTACTCTCAAGGGTAAATTCTCCAGGTGCATTTAGAATTGGTTTCAAAATGATTTTATTTTCAATAAAAAATAAAAATGAGATTGTTTTGAGAATCATTTTGGTACCGATTATGAATTTGCGTTTGGTTAGTTTTTTAAGAAATTGTTGAGTATAATAAAAAAAGTGAAATCGTGTTTATTAATTAATATATTATAATATTGTTGATAACTACTAAAAAATGAAAATAGAAAAGTGAAAACAACGTTCAACTGTTTTCTAATTCCTTCACAAAAACAATTCTCACTCTTTTCGTTTTCAAAATATTTGCTAAACAAACGTCGTTTCGTTTTCATTTTCATTTTTTGCTTCTTGAAATACTTGAAACCCGTTTTCAAAAATGGTTCCAAATACGCACTCCATTTTTTCCAATTCTTCTTCTCTAAACGTAATTCCGATGAAGAATGTACGCTTTTTCTCTCACTAGAATTTTTTTTACCACATGTTTTTTTTTCTATATAAGATTTTAACAAGGCGCGTTTTCTGTACGGTGGACACCTAAAAGGTATTATTGTGAATAAATTAATGTAGATGTCACCCCTTGGTATTCAATAACGTGTATGGATATTAAATGTAAATTATTTAGCATCCACATTATGAGACTTATAACTTTCATTAATATTTATAATATTTATAATTTATGTCCTCTCATCTCACCTATTTTTATGGCTCTTGATGTATTTTTCATCATTTACAACTGAATGAAAGATTGAAACCTGTTATTGTCTCTCATATTTCTATTGTTCTCTTTAATTTCTTAGAAATTTTAGATTTTTCTATTATTTTACGTCGGTTTTGACGATTTTTTTAACACCCTTGATCATAATTGTTATAACAAATTTTTTATAAGTTCAGGTTAGTATTCCACATCGACAATGTCAAAATTCAAAGCTCAAATTAGATCTTGCTCAAGTCAGCTATGGAGTAATAAATAACTTGATAATAGTCAATTTTCTAGCTCAATTCCGTAGCTCGCAGCCAAACTTTAAAGCTTAATGCTATGTTTGGTATGATGGAAAAGAGGAAGGAAAGAAGTGGGCGGAGGAATGACTGTGTGAAAAATGATAAAGTGAGTTGTTTGGGAGGAAAGAAGTGATGAGGAAAAGGAAAATAGGGTGGATAAAAGTTGTTGTCGGATTCACCAATTTTTATCTTTCCAACATTGAGTGGAAAACTTTAATCCATCCATTGAGCCTAAAATAACTTTTGTACCCCTATTGTAAAGCTAAATTAATATTAAATAATTAGTAAAATAGTCTTAGCCTACTGAATATTTTCTTTTCTTCCATCATACCAAACAAACATAAAGGAAATTCAACTTCTTTTCTTTTCTTCACATTTTCTTTCTTATATGTGTTTTCTTTCCATTCTCTTTTATTTCACTCTTACCAAATGGAGTGTGAAGGAGGAAGAAAGCTCACAAATAGCTGAGCCAGGATCACAAATATGCGACTTATAAATGTGTGAGCTCGCAACCTAGTGAACTCATGGAATAGCTAGCCTATAGTTCAACCTAAACTCCTGCAAAGTAAGTGAGATCATTCCCCGCTCGCATTCCCTTTTTTTTTCCAAGTCCAGGTTTCCCTCTTGATTCCAACACTTGTTGAGTGGAGTCTGCTAGATCAAAACCACGACGTCTGATAGAATGTGGACTGAAGAGAAGAGCTATGTTCGAGAAAGAACCATGAGGTCAAAGGGGTGAACACGGGTGATGTGTGGTTACACCCAAAATGAGTGGTTTCTTAGGGAGAATGATTTATAAATATGAGGGGAGTAAGCTGAAAGAAGGGTCTAAAATTCTAATATCTTGAATCCTTACTGTTAGAGAAATTTGAGTGTAGAGGGTGAAAAGAATACATAAACAAGAGAGGATTTGAGGCGTATAGGAATACTTTTTTTTAAGGTTTTATTTGCCCTCCCTTCTCAAAGTTTGTTAATGAGTTTTAATGGCAAATTACCCCCAAGATACAACAAACCCTTGAACATAATATCTAGCAATAATATTGAGTTCCAGAGCATAAAATGAAGTCTGTAAATTTTCTGGAGAATTAATAAAGACAGAGGTGTCATTTCATGAATGAATGCATCCTCCTTAAACATTACAACCATTCACATAAAGGTACATTTTCAATGTAAAGGTATCTTTTCATGGATTAATACACTTATTACAATAGTTATATATATTACTAATTGGTGTTCAGATATGTATGAAAACATATCACCAATGGATGTAATGGTTCGAAACGTTTTAGATCACATAAACTCATGAAAACATTATTTTCAGCATAATTTCCGCTGCAGTGGATGTTTTCCCGCTGCAGCCGCAAAAAAACCCGAGACATGCAAACATTTCGACTGCAGCCAAAATATTTCAGCTGCAACCAAAATGTTTCGGCTACAGCCGGTTTGGCCGAATCAAAGCAGTTTTTTCTGCCACAACTTTTGAAGTCCCTTTAACACGAGTTTTCATGTTTTAATACTCAAACAACTTGTGATCTTGATCAAGATATATTACAATCTCTCTAACAATCCCCCACTAGATTGTAATATTTCTCCAGAATTAACAACGATAAACACACACATACATGAAAGTATCTTTCAATTTTAACCTCCAATTAGTGACTATACTTCAAAGTATTCACAAGACAACAGTGTGCTTTGTATTAAACTTTGTCTCTTGAGCAAATACTGAAAATATATCACATATGTGTTATCCCAAACTTAAAATCTGTTCCAATCGTTTAGCACTATTTCGGCCTTGTGCTCTATCTTGGATTCATGAACATTTACAAGACTAAACCACAGTCTTGTTAGGAACGACACCATTCCTTATGTTCACTTAGGTGAAGTTTCAAATTATTTCTCTAGCTACTATGAGACTCGAACTCCATTAAAAGTATAAACTCAACCTCAATCACGTAGCTATTTTGTACCGACATCTTGGAAGGAACTAATGAAATTTTGGCGCTAACCCGGTCACATAACAATGACTTGTTCTTACCCATTTAACTATGGAATAGCGGTACAACTACTACATAGTTGGGTTACCATCATTGGTAACTCTTTCAAATAAAGGTTTCAGTCTCATTCCACTAGATGTTTCTTTGACTAAGTCTCTTGAAAGACCTTTCATCAAAAGATCCGCTAGGTTTTTGTTTGTCCTAATATAAATAATATTGATAACACCATCGGTTATTAAATGTTTCACATATTCATGTCTCAAGCTAATATGTCTAGATTTTCCATTATAAACTTTGTTATAAGCTCTAGACAAAGTAGCTTCACTATCGCAGTACAAAGAAATAGATGGCATCAGTTGTGGCCACAAATCAATATCAAATAATAGATTTCTCAGTCATTCTGCTTCTTTGCCCGCAGCGGCAAGTGCTATAAACTCACTCTCCATCGTAGAATGAGTTATGCACGTTTGTTTCTTAGAAGCCCAAGACACGGCTCCTCCCGCAATTGTGAAAATCCAACCAAATGTGGATTTGTTATCACTTGCACTTGTTCTCCAACTTGCATCTGAGAACCCTTCAAGTACCACTGGATAGTCATTATATGACAAACCCAAATTTATGGTTCTTTTAAGATAACCAAGTACTCTACCAATTGCATTCCAATGTTCAACACCCGGGTTACTCGTGAATGTAGACATTTTGCATACTGCAAATGCTATGTCTGGTCCTGTACAATGCATGACATACATTACGCTACCAATAGCACTAGCATATTCAAGCTGTGCCACCGCTCGACCTGCATTCTCTAGTAATTTAATACTAGAATCATATGGGGTATTCGCTTCTTTAAACTTCAAATGATTGAATTTAAAAAGCACCTTCTCAATATAATGAGATTGACACAACGAGTAACCCCCACTATGCTTCCTCACTTTTACGCCTAAGATAGTATATATCTCACCAAGATCTTTCATCTTAAATTGTGAAGTTAGATATTTCTTAGTATCATTTACCCCTTGCATGTTTGTTCCAAAGATAATCAAGTCATCAACATATAAACATATAATCACACTAAAATTATTTGTAAATTTAGAGTATATGCATTTATCTGCCTTATTATGCTTAAAACCATGAGATAAAATGACATTATCAAATTTTTCAAGCCATTATTTTGGTGCTTACTTTAAACCATAAAGTGACTTGACTAACTTGTAAACCTTCTTTTCATTTTCAAGTAATATAAACCCTTCGGGTTGTTCCATATAGATTTCCTCATCAAGATCACCATTTAGAAAAGCCGTCTTAACATCCATTTGATGCACATGCAAATTGTATATTGATGCAATTGCAAATAGCACTCTTATGGATGTCAATCTAGCTACCGGAGCATATGTATCGAAATAGACTATACCATGTTTTTGTTTAACGCCCTTGGCTACCAATCTAGCCTTGAATGTTTGTATAGACCCATCGGTATTGTACTTTCTTCTAAACACCCATTTGTTGCTTATTGGTTTTGATCCCGGAGGAAGATCTACCAAGATCCAAGTTTGATTCGACATAATCGAATCCATTTCATCATTCACGGCCTCTCTCCAAAAGGAGGCATCCCTTGAAGACATAGCTTCACTAAATGTTTTTGGATCTTTTTCTACATTAAGCAACAATGGTATTTTATTAAGTACACCATTTCTATCTCCTTCAACCAAAAAGGTTAAAGCTTGAGATGAAATAAAATCTGGTGCTAAGTCATTTTCTTTTCTTTCACGTTGACTTCTTCTCGGTTCGAAAGATGTCATAGACTCTTTTCTTTTATTAGTGGAGGTACCGAGAATGTCAACACATGGTTGATTAACATTAGGTTCTGATTCAGTGGAAGAATCAAGGCTAAACTTGTTCTCAATAAATTCAACATCTCTTGATTCTATAATGACATTAGAATCTAGATTCAATAATCTATAAGCCTTAGAATTTTCAGCATATTCTATGAAAACACTTTTAATTCCTCTAGCACCTAACTTTAATGATTTAGGGTCAATCACTCTATAAAAGGCTAGACAACCCCACACCCTTAAATACATCAAGTTTGGTTTTCTTCCTTTCCATACTTCATATGGAGATACATGTGTTTTCATAGATGTAATTCTATTGTGAACATGGCATGCAGTAAGTAAAGCTTCCCCCCATAAATTATTAGGTAATTTAGCATTAAGAAACATAGAGTTAATCATATCGATAAAAATGTTATTCTTTCTTTCAGCCAATCCATTTTGTTGAGGAGTAAAAGAGGCTGACCTTTGGTGAATAATACCATGCTCTTCACAGAAAGTATCAAATTCATTTGAGAAATATTTACCACCTCTATCACTTCGAACCATTTTGATCTTCTTATGTTTTTGGTTCTCAACTTCAGCCTTATAAATTTTAAATTTATCAAAGGCTTCATCTTTTATTCTAAGTAAATACACATATGTGTATCTAGAACAATCATCAATGAAAGTGATAAAGTATCTCTTTCCTCCTCTTGTCAAAAGTCCATTCTACTCACAAATATCGGTATGATTCATATCCAATATTTGTGTATTTCATTCGGCTCTAGGAAAGGGTTTCTTAGTCATCTTTGCTTGTATGCAAATTTCACAGTTATCATTTTTAACATCTTTGCAATTAATTAAACCATGTTTAGACATATATTTCAAAGATTTAAAATTTAAGTGTGCTAAACGTGCATGCGAAACATCAAAAGAATCAACAATATAAAGAGAATTCACATCATCTTTATTATTAATGCTAAGTTTGTACATACCATCACAGGAATATCCCTTTTCCACAAAGACCCCATTCTTAGATACAATACAATTATTGCCCTCAAGTACAAACTTAAGCCCATTCTTACACATTAGACTATCGGATACAAGATTTTTCCTAAAGTTAGGATCATGAAGAACATTGTTCAAAGTAAGCTTCTTTCCGGAAGTAAAGTTGATCTCCACCACTCCTCTCCCGGCAACCTTCGCTGCATCATTATTCCCCATGAGAACCGTTTGTCCTTCCTTTTCCACTTTGTATGATGAGAATAAATTCTTGTCATTACAAATGTGAATTGTGGCACCGGAATCAAGCCACCATTCGGAGGAATTTGTTGCAGCCATGTTAGTATCGGTAATCATACCAATTTGCATTTCTGAGACCATAGCACAAATGTCTTTGGATTTCTCTTCAACAGTATTGGCCTTGGTGTTAACTTCTTCCTTTTTCTTCTTGTATCTGCAGTCATTTTGGCGATGGCCTACAAAAGAAACAATTTCCAGAAAATTTCTTTTGGCCATTACCGGGCTTTTTGAACTTCTTGTCATTATTGACTTTGAAGTTCTTGGAAAACTTACTAGCTTCGGCAACATTAACCTTAGAAGAATCAAAAATCTTTCCCTTGGGATCACGAGACTTAGTCTCTTCTTCGATCCTCAAGTATTTTTGTAATTCCTCCAAAGTTATGTCATCTCTCCTATGAAGGAATTTCTTTCTATAACCATTCCAACTTTGAGGCAATTTAGCAATAATTGCCCGCACTTGGAATGATTCAGAAATTTTAACTTTCAATTCATGAAGCTTAGTAACAATGACTTACAATTCATGTATTTGATCTAGAACGGACTTGGTATCAACCATAACAAATTCAAGAAATTTCAAGATGAGAAATTTGTCTGTATTTTCCTTCTCAGTTTTGTACTTGTATTCGAGAGCGTTCTAAATCTCCACCGGAGACTCCATCGAGTTGTAGAGATCATAGAGCCTATCGGAGAGAGTGTTGAGAATATGACCCCGACACATGACTTCATCATCTTCACGCTTCTTCCTTGCAGCCTTTAAGTCTTCAGAATCATCCTCCTTCGGTTCCGAAAGAGGCTCCAACTTCAGATCAAGCACATAGGCAATCTTAAGCACAGTGAGAAGAAAGAACAACTTTCCTTTCCAACGGGTGAAATTGGTACCATCAAATCTATCAAGTTGGACATTCGGATTGAGGAAAGACGTCATGTTCTTTTCAACCTCCATTGCAGCAACTTAAAACCTTAAAGAGTGTTACAGAAATTTGAGTGTAGAGGGTGAAAAGAATACAGAAACAAGAGATGATATGAGGCGTATAGGAATACTTTCCTTTAAGGTTTTATTGCCCTCCCTTCTTAAAGTTTGCTAATGAGTTTTAATAGCAAATTACCCCCAAGATACAACAAACTCTTGAACACAATATCTAACAATAATATTGAGTTCCAGAACATAAAATGAAGTCTGTAAATTTTCTGGAGAATTAATAAAGACAGAGGTGTCATTTCATGAATAAATGCATCATCTTTAAACTTCATGGATTAATACACCTATTACAATAGTTATATCTATTGCTAATTGGTGCTCAGATATGTATGAAAACATATCATCAATGGATGTAATGGTTCGAAACGTTTTAGATCATATAAACTCATGAAAATATTGTTTTCTGCATAATTTCCGCTGCAGTCGATGTTTTCCCGCTGCAGCCGCAAATAAACCCGAGACATGCAAACATTTCGGCTGTAGACAAAATATTTCGGCTGCAGTCAAAATATTTCGGCTGCAGCCAAAATATTTCGGTTGCAGCCAAAATATTTCGGCTGCAGCCGGTTTGGCCGAAACAAAGCAGTTTTTTCTGCTACAACTTTTGAAGTCCCTTTAACACGAGTTTTCATGTTTTAATACTCAAACAACTTGTGATCTTGATCAAGACATATTACAATCTCTCTAACACTTACTCTGTCAAATTATAATTTGAGAGGCTTGGTGAGGATTTGAGTGTGTATTATGATTCACCAGTTGTAGTATATTAGTCTTAGTAGACGTAGGCTGATTTTGAGATGAACCACTATAAACTTTGCCTTTTGATTTACAATTTACATTTCATACTTTTTTTTTTGTTATTTTGATCCGCTTCAATCAGATTTCTCATTTGAAGTTTGATTTCTTGGTTGTTGATGGAATTTTACCGTCAACAATGATTAAGTGACTTAATTTGTACCAACTGATCCACTTTTGATTACAATTTACAGTCCCCTTTATGTTAATTCCATTTCATGTAATAATTGATATGCTCATAATATCTTTTTCTTTAATCTTTTTTGCTTGAATGTTATGATGGAAAATTCACCCCATGAGAGTTAATACACCCTTTCTTTTAACTTAAATTGTGAAAAAAGGAAAGGATGTCTTTATCTTGCTAGTACCTTCAATGTCCACTTCTTCAAAAAGTATTTGATATCGTCCCTCACTTTTTTCCATAACTATTCACGGATGCTTTGTCCATAGAAAACGTAGATTGCATATTCCCCACTCTTTTTATTTAGTTGCAATTCACACTCAAAACAAAAGTACGGAGCTTCCTTCCAACCATTAATGGAGAGATAGAGAGAGGTTGACGTCCCTACATTCTATTTTGCAAACATATTATAATATAATTAATTACAAACATAATCAAACATACATGATTCAAGGTTTGACAATTGTTATTATGACCTTTTATACTTCCTTTATTTCTAAGGAACTTAATTCAGTGGGAAATTGCTCCTCTCTCTCTCAATCCCTCTCTTAAATTCTCCTCTCAGCACTAAACTTGCTATAAAGCTGCTAGTTATTCTCAAAATAAAAGGCAAATAAAGACACATTTCAAATTACATCTCCTTCCTTTCTTATATATTAGCTCACCATAATAGATTTCAATCAAGCTGTCAATCTCCAAAAGAATAATATTCTTCCTTCTCATATTAAAAACCCTCATCTATAATTCTCTGTGTTAGCTAGTTTTTTCATCCATATGCCTCCTCTTTCTAATCCTTTATCTCCTCCTCCATGGCCTTGAAATTTTCCCATCTACTTTTCTTCATTCTATGGCTCTCTCTTCTCTTCTTGTTGTTTCGCGAATTCCGCAACTTCAAGTCGAAATTCAAATCCAAGCAAAACATCGCCAATAATCTCATGATGACCCCCTATTCTTCCATCTCCAATATTCAATACCCCATTTTGATCAACAGCAGAAAAGTTCTAGCAAGCAATTTTGACTTCACCCCATTTCTAAACCATCATCATCATCAAAAACAACAACATACGAAACGTCACCGTTCCTCGTCACCCCCGCGCATGCCGAAGCCAGTTGAAGCCGGTGATGAACATGATGATCATGATGGGAATGAGATTGATCCACGTTATGGTGTTGAAAAGCGCCGTGTCCCAACCGGTCCAAACCCTTTGCATCATTGAAATAATGGGTTCTCAGGTGAATGTGATCACAATCAATGAAATATCAGAAGAAGGAGCTTATAGAAAAGAAAAAATATGGTTAGTGGGAGCTTTTATAATTACTTTCAATGACGTTCGTTCCAAATGTTTTGCTTTTTTTCCTATAAAATATTTTAACTAGATCATCAGACTAGATTTGTTATATATTATTGTTTTTTTTTTTTTTTCTCCACAGTGAATTTTATGCATCACAATCCAATCCATTCCGATCCGAACTTGAACCGAGATCGAATGTATAGACAACAAATCTTTCGAAATTCCATACGGGATATACATATATCTATGGATGGCTCTGCATAGACTAATATGCGATATTATGATCTTATGTACATGTGTTTGTCCTTTGATATCTATTATATATAATTACGGAAAGAAAATAGTACCATATTTTTTAAGGTTGATTTTTTCAGGGCATGATTATTATGTTGTATATATCTATGCAATATTGTTTCATTTATTAATGTAAGTATATAGAAATTCACTTTCACATGTTTTTAATAAAAAAAAATTCTAGAAGTAATTTGGAGGAAACATGAGTAGCTGTGACGGCACGGAACATATATATATCAAGAAGATATTTGGACGCACCATAATGAGATATATTAATTGGGGTTGGTTAGTGTAAAAGGCTTTGCTTCCTTTGAAGATTATTAATCAAAGCAGTGTGCATTACACGTGATGGGTTTGGTGCCACATGTCGCTTTTCTTTTGGGTGATCATATATACACCGACCCATTTAAATATTAATATCCCTAATTTTGTGACCAACAATGTTTTTCATCCACAAATAATTTGTTAAAATCTTCAACCCTAAGATTAGGATGTGATGTAATATTCTCTCTATTTTGGTTTAAATTAAATAAATATTCAAGATGAATATCCCGAAGAAAATCAAACGAATCTTGATGGCCCCTAAAATTAAATTGGGATGATAGGAAAATTGATGGTGAAAACGAGCTCTCAATATGAGAACTCCATGGTAATGCAGGATTCAAACATGGTGACGGTTTTGGAGTAAAGGGCCCGTTCGGTTCGCTAATTTGAGTTTTAATTCGAGTTGAGATGTGATGTTGTGTGAGAATTTTTTACTGTAGTAAAAAAATTAGATGTGACTGTTTCTAAGAGCTTTTACTGTAACAAAACTCGAATTCTAAACTCAAATCTGCGAAAAGAACAGAACATATAATCTTCCCGGTTCGCCTGCTTGAGGAAGCTGGACGAATAAATTATTAAGTTCATCAATAGGACTATGTTGAGTCCCACATTAAGAAGACATGGGATTGAGAATGAATTTAAAACGATTTGAAATACTCCTCCTAATTATAGATTAACCTCCCTAACCTTTTTGGATAAAACCCCAATAACCCAACAATTTTACGTTACTGTCTTCTAGATGATATCTTGTCCGTGATGTGTTTGTCTCGTCGTAGAGAGGAACATCACACTTTATAAGTACTAACTGTCATCCAACTTAACTTGTTTTTTGTCAATGATATTATATATTACAAAAAGAATAAAGCCGTTAAATATGTTATCATAGACTTTCAATATTTTAGCAACTTTATTTTTCGCTTTTTCCTATTTCGAGTTTGATTAACTGCAATATCGTGGGTCTCAATCTCAGACATCGCTTGGTGTAAAGTAGTACTAGAGTCACTTTCGGACGGTGATATAAATTTCCCTTGCGTCTTAAATTAATTTTGAAATATTTCCTTTTTTCTAAATTAATTTCATCAAATAATAAACAAGTAATAAGTATCTTAATAATATTCAATGCTTACAGCTTATCAATTAATGTAAGCGTTCGTAGCTAGCATTGACATCTTTAGATTTCAAAAAATAATTATTGTAAAAAGTAAAAAAAAAACAATAATTATTTCTGTAAGCATTTTTTTTTTTTTTTTTTTGGAAAATATCTGTAAGCATCTCTTAAAGTGATATCCAACTAGAGCAGTAATCGCTACGTACGTCAAAAAGAAAATGGTAGCTCAATATTTAAATTTTATTTACTTAAAAAAAGGTGTACACATTAGCTAGCGTGGTGACATATAAAATTATGACCAATTTTTATTTTTTTCTGGATGGTTAGAAAACAAATTATGATTGAAATATGTTTGAAAATAGGGAGTTTTTCTAGTCAGAAAAATGAACTACTTATAGTTATATATTTTTTGGTCATCAAATCTATAACAGAAACAGCTTGTTCTGTATTTTTTTTAATCCTATGTGTTTTGATCAGATCCAGTGATTAAAAACTGACACTACCAGATAAGAAGGCCTACCGGAAAAAGTCTTTTCAAATTAATAGCGAATTAAGGACCAAGTTCTTAGATCATTTATGGAAAAATCATAATTTTTTTTGTAGGTACTTTCACAATCTCAAACTAAAGTCCTCGTGCTTCTAGTTTAATAATAATAATAATAATAATAATAATAATAATAATGAGGGTAATAGTGATAATAATAATAATAATAATAATAATAATAATAATAATAATAAAACTGGATGAGGCTTATAAAAGTGGAAAGTAACATAGCATATGTATATGAATTTTTGATAAATTTTCAACGGCACAGTTTACCTTTATGAAGCAAAATACTGGGATATTATAAATTCTTCCAGATCGCTAATTTTCTAATTGCAAACTTTGTCTTCCATGGTGTTAAAGTTTGGTCAATTTTTTTTTTTTATTAATACATCTAATATTTTTCTACGTCTTTTTGAACTGAACTTGTATCCGTTTCTCATCCTCTTAATTAAGTGAACTATTTAACTGCCCAAATAATTAATGTCTTATATTATTCCATCAAATTAAATTTATAATATGAGTTAGATTACAACTAGCAACAAATATAAAGTATTGCCAAGAAAGGTCATCATACGCAGCCATGTTCTTATTAATTAGTTCAACAACCGTACGTACCTTTTGTGATCAACATATAGCCCTAGTTAGATGAATGTTTTTTAATCAATTTCAAGCACGTTTCCAAAGCAGAAGACAGTACCAAAATATATTAAAAAAAAAAAAACCCCCCTTTCAGAAAAGAAAGCAGATCATAAAATAATCAACATACTTGTGTTTATCAAATCGTCAAATGCCAACAAAGGTAATTTTTTGTAGGTCCATTTGATGTGGAGGGACAATATTTTTCCCTCACGAATCACGATATTGACAAAAGCTTTAATGTCTAACTCCAAACAGATGTGAAAAATCTGTTGGGATTTGTTCAGGATATTCATTTATATGCCTTGGTTTTATGCTTTATAATTTTGTTTGCATTTGATGAGTCATATCTTAATCTGATCATATATCCCACTAAATCTTGATCCCTTTAGTTATCAGCACCTAAAATTTGATGTGCCAACTTATTAATTAGGATTGTTGCATCATGTTTACACATCAAATAGTATGGACCTTAGCTTACCACCCACTAGACCTGCACCTCATGAGGTGACATAGAGATGGAATATATTAGTACTAGTGTTGGTGCAAAATTTTGTCCAACACCAACAACATGCTCTCGAACTTGTTATTCGGATCAAATGAATAACTTGATCAGTATCGTGACATGAACGCTTGGTTAAAAACGAATATCCTGATAAATTTGGACATTGCATTTAGATATTTTGTGTTTGTGGTATTATCAATTTAGATGTTGTGTTTTGTATTCATTTATTGTGATTACAGATTTGTATAGAATAAAAGTTTTATGTTTTTTTCACATTTTCTGGTCAAAAAAGACAACTAAAGATGTTGATAACCTGATAATTAACTGATGGCTACCTTCCTAATTACTAAAATTGAAAACCGACCAAACCGACCATTCCTTTATGCGGTTCGGTTTCGGTACACGGTTTTAAAAAATCGACATGGTCGGTTCGGCCACCAAACTAACTAAAACTGACGGTTAAAAACCGCCAAACACCCCTAACTGCTAGCTATGGTGTTTCAGTATATGCAGTCAATTCAACATTCAATATTATTTTTATGGTGGCAAAAATATTCTCCCACAAATCGTACCTATTAATATTATACTGTAGAACCAATAAAAGGATTTGCCGACTATAATTTCTATTAGCTTACGAAAGATTAATGTAACTTTCTCTCACTAGTTCCCCCCTTTTTTTTTTTTTCCTTTCTTTCTTTCAACAAGAATTTGTCAGCATCAACTTTTACCTATTTGCATCTTTGGAGAAGAACACTTTAAGAATGTCTGTGGTTATTGATACTGTCGAATATATATCCAAGTTGTTCTGTTGTTGTCAAAATCCGAATAAGGAAATGATTCATCATGAAGATATGATCGTACTCATAATTAGTACTATTGCAAACAACTTTTTATTGAAAGATATAATAATAAAGTGAAATTAATATTATTTACGCTCAATAATGATGCGCATGGTATCTATATGTGGGTAGAATGACAGGCCACCTAGAATAAGAACATGACCTTATAATAAACTCCGGGCAAAAAGTTTTAATGTCCGTTTAATTTACACGTTTAAGTCAATAATTTTAATTTATTAGTGGAAATTTTTTGAGAAAATCATTGTTGGGAAATTTTTGAATTTAAAATCTTTTAATTATGAAAAGAAAACATTATAGCAGAATCAGAATTATGAGTTGATTTAAACTGAATCAAAGAAGAGAAAAATAAAGAACTATCATCTTCAATAGAAAATCTTGTTTATGCTCGTGTTCTTTCCATAACAAATTTTGCCCGTAAAAACAGCAATTTTAGCAGCAATTTTTCTACACTTTTCCTGTGAAATTAAGTCGGGTATGTTGAGTATTCCAAATCCAGAATGTTGTAAATTATAACCTCATAATTTTAACTAATATTTGATAATTAATTTTGTATATCTATCATTAGAATACGATCATTTATATTTGAATTTTGGACCTAAAGGGGCATCTGCATCTCCTATTCCTTTTGGGAAGTGCTTATGCTTTTGAGGCAGATTTATAGGAATTATTTTTCGGCCAAAAATTTTTGTTGGAAA